TTATTTTCCACGGGGCTGGGGATTAAGTCAGGGGAGCTGAGCCCAAAGCCAGGTGCTGCACCTGGACCTCAGTACTGTGGACCCTCACCTTCATAGTTTTCAGCCTCTAGCTGCAGCTTCCAGTCCTCATTCTCATCCTCCTCCTTCTCCAAGTCAGGTTTGGGGTTCAGTGCAACAGCAGTGTGGTCAGTGCCAGGGGTATGGTCAGAGTCCTGAGCGAGGTAGATATGGGGGGCCTCCCTAGGGTGCTGGGGGCGGGGCTGGAGCAGCACTCGAGCACAGGCGTGTGCCCCCATGCGGCAGGCTAGGTGCAGCGCTGTGTGGCCCCCACGCTCTGCCACGTGCAACCCAGAGCCCGCCGCATACAATTTCTCCACCGTGGATGCCTCCCCCAGGATGGCTGCCAGGTGCAGGGCTGTCTGCAGGAGCAGAACACAAGTGTTAGCAGTCACACTGAGAATCCTGGCCCCAAGCCCTGCACTAGCTCCAGTGGCTCACCTGGCCCAGGTCATTCTGTAGGTCCAGGTACTCAGTACCAGCTGCAAAGCCCAGGAGGAAGTCCAGGAAGGGCTCGTGCTGATGAATCACTGCCAAGTGCAGTGCCCTGAGAACAAGAGCAGGGGTCAGAAGGCACAGGTCAAGTACTCTTGCATTCACTCATTCAATAAACTGCTAGCCATTATGACATCTGGTTCTATAACCAGATGTCAGGAATCTGAGAGGGTCAGGTCTGAGTTAATATAGAAAATTTATTTAATCAGCCGAAACCGGTTTGGCTCAGTGGATTGAGCGTCAGTCTGAGGACTGAAAGTCCCTGGTTCGATTCCAGTCAAGGGCATGTACGCTGGTTGCGGGCACATCCCCGGTGGGGGGTGTGCAGGAGGCGGCTGGTCGATGTTTCTCTCATCGACGTTTCTGGCTCTCTATCTCTCTCCCTTCCTCTCTTTAAAAAAATCAATAAAATATATATTTTTTTTTAAAAGAAAATTTATTTAATCAATATTTATTAAGTAGGACTTCTGCCTCCTCTCAAACATGGACCAGATTTCCCTCCCATATGAATCAATGAACAAATTAGATAAAACATCCTATATAATAAAGAGATAATATGCAAATTGACCCTCACACTAGGTGGCCAGCAGGGGAGGGCAGTTGAGGGTGACCTGGTCAGCAAGAGAGGGCAGTTGGGGGTGACCAGGCCTACAGTGGAGGGCATTTGGGGGCAACCAGGCTGGCAGGGGAGGGCAGTTGGGGAAGAACAGTCCTGCAGTGGAGGGCATTTTTTTTTTGGGGGGGGGGGGAGACCAGGCCTGCAAGGGAAGGCTGTTGGGGACAACCAGGCTGGTAGGGGAGAGCAGTTGGGGGCAACCACGCCAGCAGGGGAGGGCAGTTGGGGGTGACTAGACCAGTAGGGGAGGGCAGTTGGGGGCGACCAGGCCGGCAAGGGAGGGCAGTTGGGGGTACCAGGCCAGCAGGGGAGGGCAGTTAGGGGCAACTGGGCCAGCAGGGGAGGGAAGTTGGGGGTAATAAGGCCAGCAGGGGAGCAGTTAGGTGTCAATATCAGGCTGGCTGGGGAGTGGTTAGGGGTAATCAGGCGGCAGGAAGGCGAGTGGTTGGGAGCCAGCAGTCCCAAATTGTGAGAGCGATGTCCAACTGCCAGTTTAAACCAGCAGTCAGACATCCCCTGAGGGGTCCCAGATTGGAGAGGGTGCAGGATCGGCTGAGGGCCCCCCTTCCCCCCCCCCGTGTATAAATTTCATGCATCAGGCCTCTAGTCCTATATAATAAAAGGCTAAAATGCAAATGGATCAAACATTGGAATGACAGGTCACAGTGATATGCACTGATCACTGTGCAGGAGCTGCCCCCTGGTGATCAGTGCTCTCCCACAGGGAGAACACCGCTCAGCCAGAAGTCCTGAGCCGGGGTCACAGCTGGCGAGTGCAGCAGCAGTGGCAGGAGCCTCTCCCACCTCTGTGGCAGTTAGACATCTCCCGAGGGCTCCCAGACAGTGAGAGGGCACAGGCCGGGCTGAGGGACCACCCCCCTCCTCCAGTGCACAAACTTTGTGCACTGGGCCACTAGTAGAATATAAAGCAACAGTTTTCAAAATACTGAACAATGTATCATACAATGAATGACAGTGCGAGACAGGAAACAAATGCGGTGACGCCTTCGATTGACTGCCATAGCTTACTGCCTTAAGAGTTTCAAGACAAGGTGCAGGGAGAGAGAACCTAGGCAGAGTCAGCAGATTGCCTGAGGTGAGGAGATGGAGCTGAGTTGGGGGAGGGGTGGCCAAAGGCTAGAGTCAGAGGATAGAGAACCCAAAAGGAGAGCTGCACAGGGAGAGACCCCAAACAGCTGCAGAGGGGCCTTTTAAGAGTTTAGGAGGTGCCGAGACCGGTTTAGCTCAATGGATAGAGCGTCGGCTTGGGGACTGAAGGGACCCGGGTTCGATTCCGGTCAAGGGCATGTACCTTGGCTGCGGGCATATCCCCAGTAGGGGGTGTGCAAGAGGCAACTGATCGATGACTCTCTCTCATCGATGTTTCTAACTCTATCTCTCTCCCTTCCTCTCTGTACAAAATCAATAAAATATATAAAAAAAAAAAAAAAAAAAAGAGTTTAGGAGGATACTGATCATGGTATGGGTATGGGAAAATGACCCCAGGCTGAAGGAAGTATCATTCAAAAGAATTAGAGAAGTATGCCCATTGCTCACATGGCTGGGAATAATACCCACTATTCCCACCAGCCAGACTAGGAAAAACCTATCATTCATAGAACATTGAGAAGAATACTCCAGAAGGTTTTACCTCAGTAATGGGGAATAATGAGTACTAGCTAGACTGTTCAAGACCCATCTACCAAATCATAAAAGTAAAACCCAAAAGGATCAAACTACTTAGAAGTAATTTAGCTGTATCCCAGAATAATACTCAAGAATATTTATAGGAACACAAAATTAACCAGCCTAGCCGAAACCGGTTTGGCTCAATGGTAGAGCGTCGGTCTGCAGACTGAAAGGTCCCGGGTTCGATTCCGGTCAAGGGCATGTACCTTGGTTTCGGGCACATCCCCAGTAGGGGGTGTGCAGGAGGCAGCTGGTCGATGTTTCTCTCTCATTGACATTTCTAGCTCTCTATCTCTTTCCCTTCCTCTCTGTGAAAAATCAATAAAATATATTTTTTTTAAAAAATTAACCAGCCTAACAAGTTAAAATCTATAATGTCTGGCATCTAATCAAAGATTATCAGGCACACAAAGAAGCAGGAACACATGACCCATAATTAGAATAATCAATCAACTGAAGTTGCCCAAAATGATCCAGATATTAGAATTAGCAAACAAGAACATTAAAACAGTTCATTATAATTGTATTGTAAATATTCCAAAAGGTTTTTTTTTAATATATTTTATTGATTTTTTTAATAAAGTCAATAAAAGAGAGGAAGTGAGAGGGACAGAGAGTTAGAAACATCGATGAGAGAGAATCATCTATCAGCTGCCTCTTGCACACCCCCCAATAGGGATGTGCCTGCAACCAAGGTACATGCCCTTGACCGGAATCAAACCTGGGACCTTTCAGTCCACAGGCCGACGCTCTATCCATTGAGCCAAACTGGTTTCGGCCAAAAGTCTGTCGTTGTTTTTTTTTTAAATACTTTTATTGATTTTTTACAGAAAGGAAGGGAGATGGAAAGAGAGTTAGAAACATCGATGAGAGAGAAACATCCATAAGCCACTTCTTCCACACCCCGCATTGGGGTTATGCCCACAACCCAGGTACATGCCTGGAATCGAACCTGGGACCCTTCTGTCCATAGGCCGACGCTCTATCCACTGAGCCAAACTGGTTTCAGCAAGAAACTCTTTAAATATAAATATTTTAAAATAGATTAAGAATAAAAGGGTGGCCCTGGCCAGGTTGGTCAGTTGGTTGGAGTGTCGTTCTATACACCAAAAGGTTGCAGGTTCAATTCCCAGTCAGGGCTCATACCTAGGTTTTGGGTTTGATCCCAGTCGAGACACATATGGAAGGCAACTGATCAATGTTTCTCTCTCTTTCTCCCTTCCTCTCTCTCTCTCAAATAAATATCCTTGGGTGAGGATTTTAAAAAGTAAAAATAAAAATATCAAAGGGTGGAATAAGATGTAGCATACTAATACCGGTCAGTCAAAAAAAAGCAGGAGGGAGTATTTATTGATTTCAGAGAGGAAGGGAGAAACATCAATTTTGAGAGAAAATCACTGATTGTGCTGTCTTGTGTGCCCCACTCTGGGGATCAAATCAGCAACCCAGGCATGTGCCCTGGCCAAGAATCAAACCATGACCTCCTGGTTCATAGGTCAACGCTCAATCACTGAGCCACCCCAGCCCAGCAGGAGGGAGTATTTTTTTTTAAAGAAGTAATACTTTTATTTTATTTTATTTTATATATTTTATTGATATTTTACAGAGAGGAAGGGAGAGAGATAGAGAGCTAGAAACGTCGATGAGAGAGAAACATCGACCAGCTGCCTCTTGCACACCCCCTACCGGGGATGTGCCCACAACCAATGTACATGCCCTTAATCAGAATCGAACCTGGGATCTTTCAGTCCGCAGACCGACGCTCTACCACTGAGCCAAACCGGTTTCGGCAGGAGGGAGTATTTTAACATCAAAGTAGATTTCTGAGCAAGGAATAGAGAGGGTTATTTCATAATGAGAAAGAGATCAGTGAATCAAGAGGACAGAATTATAAATATTTGTACCCTTGATAATAGTGTCCAATTACAAGCAGCAAAACCTGATAGAAATACAAAGAGAAATAGACAAATCCACAATTCTTATTAGAGATTTCGATAAGTTTCTCTCAATAATTGATAGAACAACTAGACAACAATCATCAAGGACAGAGAGGAATGGAACACTATACCCAACAACAGCAGAATATACATTCTTTTCAAGTGCACACAATATTCTGAACCATAAAACAAGTCTTAATAAATTTAAAAGGATTCAAGTCATACAAAGTCTATTACCAGTCTACAACAGAATTAAATTAAAAATCAATAAAAAGAAAGGTATTTGGAAATTCTTCCAAATATCTGGAAACTAAATAACATACTTCTCAATAATCCACTGACCAAAGAAGAAATCAAAAGAGAAGTTATAGCCAAAACCGGTTTGGCTCAGTGGTAGAGCATCGGTCTGCGGACTGAAAGGTCCCAGGTTCGATTCCGGTCAAGGGCATGTACATTGGTTGCGGGCATATCCCCGGTGTGCAAGAGGCAGCTGGTCTATGTTTCTCTCTCATCGACGTTTCTAGCTCTCTATCCCTCTCTCCTCCTCTCTGTAAAAAAATCAATAAAATATATTTTAAAAAAAAGAGAAGTTATAAAGTATATTGAATTTAATAAAAGTCAAAACACAACATGTCAGAATTTGTGAGATACTGTTAAAGCAGCGCTTGAGGAAATTTACAGCACAGAACACCTGTAACAGAGAAGAAAGGTCTGAAATCAGTGACCTCCTTAAGAAACTAGAAGAATAAAAATAAATCAAACCCAAAGTAAGAGGAAGAAAGGAAATAATGAAAGTCAGAACAGAGATCAATAAAATAGAAAACCAAAGAAAAGAGAAAATTAATGAAGCCAACTGGGTTCTTTGAGAAAAGATCAATGTTTATTGAGTGCCACCTATGGGTTAGGTTCTGTTCAGTTGCTGAGGCTATAGCAGAAAACAACACACAAAAACCCCAGGTACAGTCCCTCACTTGGGCCTTTCCAACGTTGTTTTTTTCCTTTTGTTCTACCCTCTTACCGGGAATGCCCTCCCCAAATAATCTTGTCTCATTATCCTGCTTGATTTTTCTCTGAAGAACTTACTATACTCTGGCATTCAATTTTTCAGTCTTTCATTTTTGTCATTTTTTGTCTTTCTTTTCTCTTACTTTGCATCTTTCTGTGTCTTTTTCCTCTCTCCTCTTTTTCCCTTCCTTTCTTTTCTCTACCTCTTCCTGTCAGTCCTTCTGTCTGTGTAACCCTCCTCTCTCCAATGTATACTCCACAACGCATATGTTTGTTTTTTGTTTCTTTCTTCACTGCCTTATCACCAGCACCTAAAACGGTCTGAAACGTGGTTGTGTTTGATGGATATTTGCTTAACAGATGAATCCCTGCTCTCAAGGAACTTACAAAATTTCTCTTTGAATGTGAGATGTGAAGATTAATTCTCAGAAGATGGGATCTTAGTCAAAGGCCAAGTAATTATTTCGGAAATCAAGGTCTAATGCTCATAAATCAGGAGCAAAGGATCAAAAATCATAAATATTTGTGGAGGTTAGAGGTCAGGAGGTGCCAGCCTGAGCTACTAATAAGGTCTCAGGGCTGGGGTCAGGAAGGTCAAATCCAGTTTGGGGATCACTGGAAAGGCAAGTGGAATTCTGAGAACCAGTGTTCAGTAAAGGAGTTCAGAAATCGTGGGTTAGAATCAGTTGGGTAGGAAATTGACTTTATAAAAGCTTAGGACCTGTGGGTTAGAGGACAGGAAGTCAAGCATCAGAGTCAGATTTAGAAGGGAGGGCAGCCTAAGATTCACTCACGTGTCCCCATCCTCAGTTACGTAGCCAAAGACCAGGGGCGCCCACGACAGCCCCGGGCCCAGTTCCGCGCCCAATCCCGGTCCTCCGGGGGGCGCTGCATCCGGACCCAGAGAGCCCAGGCCACTGTCGCACCACTCGTCGGCATCCGCAGCTTTCCCCAAGCACGCGACCCCGGCCATGGCCCTCCGAGTCTCAGGGCCCCGTGGCCGCGGGCCAGTCGCTGGGCTCTGCTGTAGCTCCGGCGCTTCCGCCCTGCAGGGAATTCCCCGACACTCCCCCTGATCCACCCAATCAGAGCAGGCTAAATCGCCCACGCTCCGCCCCATATCACTCCGTGGCCAATCAGAGTTTTCATGTAGACTCCGCTCTCTACCGGTTCCCACATTTTCCAGGCGCCCTTTGTCAACATGGCCGGCCACCTATCAGCGCAGGGCACTTTGGGACTCGTAGTCAGGACCTCGCTTGCTTATTCTTATTATTATTTTGTTGCTGTTGTTGTTAATGCTTACCCAAGAATATTTTTCCATTGATTTTTAGAGAGAATGAAAGAGAGAGGGAAAGACAGAGAGAGCGATGTGAGAGAAACACATTGATGGGTTGCCTCCTGCACTCGGCCGGGCGGGGAGGAACGTGGCCTTGACCGGAATGGAATCCGGGACCTTTCGGTCTGCAGGCGCAGGCTCTATCCACTGAGCCAGCCGGGCTAGGGCTGTTTGTTTATTGTTACCTAAGAAGGGCGCGCGGGAGGTTGTGGGAAAGCCTGGATATGGCCTCGCTGGCTGCTGGGAGTTGTAGTCCTCTGTTCTATCTCTGCCCCTACTGCTTCCGGTGCCGTCACGGCCGAGCAGTCGGTGACAGCCCCGAGGGCCCCCGCCCCGCGCTAATGGCCGAGCCGGACCGTGAGTCGGGGCCGGTGGGAGGGTCGGGCCGGGCCGCGCCGGGGCCTGAGATCTGCAGGCCCCCGGGCCCTGGGCGGGCGAGGTGGGGAGGAGATGGGGGCTGTATGGGGAGGAGTGGAATTCTGGGGCTGTTGCTAAGTTATCCGTATGGCTAAGTTGGTGGGTTTCTGGGTCGCGAGACTTTAAGGGTCCGTTTGCTTTGTCTTCCAAGTTACTAATCAAAGGGTGTTTCTTGCATCTTGGTTGCCAAGGACCCTCGTTGCTAAAGACTTAGGTCGTTGCTGTCCCGGTTGCTAAGGGTACCTGGTTGTTAGGGGAAATTGTAAGATGCTAGGGAATCCCTGGTGTTCCCTCCTATATCTTCCCTCTAGTTCCTGTGCCTCCCCCCCCCCCCCCAAACAAACCATTCCCACCGCCCCTCCTCTCACTTCCAGTCCGAGTATCTCTTACCTTTTCTCTTCCTTTCTAAACTTGCCACTGTTGGAAACCTAACCCTCCCATAGCGCGCGCGCGCGCGCGCGCGCGCGCGCACACACACACACACACACACACACACACACACTATTATGTCCGTCCTAATCCCTCTTAAGGTGTCCTCCATGCCCTGAATCCTTTACTTTCTCCTCCCTCTACTAAGTCTTCATGTCTCAGCCCCTTTGTCCCTCCCTAACCACCTCTCCTCCCAGCACTCTCCACTCTGCTTTTCCCCACCCTCTCCCTCCCTCTCTTGCATTTTTACCTCCACCCCATACACCAGTATAACTAGTTTGGTGGGTCTTCTTGCCCCGGCCCCCTGCTTGAAGCCCTTCATAACTCCTTAATCATTCCCCCCACTGTAACCACATCTGCTCCCCCTCCTCCTCAGCCTCTGACCCTCTGGAGACCCAGGCAGGGAAGGTGCAGGAGGCTCAGGTGAGACGGGAGAAGGGTGGAGGGAAGGAGAGAGATGGACTTGTTCCCACACCCCATTCCCCTGGGGGGAGGTGACCCAAGGGAGAGTTACCCCAGGGCCCTCAGCTTATAGTCCCAGTCCCTCGCCCCCACCTCCCAGTTCAGCTTCCTGGGGAACAGGGGTTGCTGAGGACTATCAGAGAAGGGTGTGCAGCTCAACCCCAGGCCTGCACTCCTGAACTTTTCTCTTTCCTTGTCCCCCCCTCCTCCCCAGTCCCTTCTGAATCTCATTTATGCTGCTCCTGGAAAGACAGGCATCTCACTTGGTCCCTGAACTCATGGATCTATTGGACCAGGGACTAGAAAATGACCCTACAGGGTGATTATGAAAATAGCTCAGGGCACTGTGGGAGCCCAGAGGAAACTTGTGGTGTCACAATATTCCAATCAGTCCCTTCTTTGGAGGGGCTGGTCTAGGAGCCAGATTGAGATGGACACATTTGCAGTGAAGAGTGACTTTGAATTTTCTTAGGCAAGGTGGGAAATGGTATTCCACACAGAGGATGCAGCTAGGCATGCAAAGACCTGGCAGCTTGGAAGAGTGTTATATGTTCAGTAGGTGGTGATGGGTAGGCAGCTAATTGTATGCATAGCTGGCATTTATTGAGAACTTCAGCAGGGTAACTCTGCTTAGTGCTTTATGGGCATCATCTCATTTCATCTTCTCAGCATTCCTGTGGGAGTCAAGGCCTATTGTGGCCATTTTACAGATGAGGAATTTGAGGCATAGTTGTTAGGTATCCTGTTCTCTGTCCCTCAGCCAGAAGAGCTGGAAAGAGTTTGCCAGCCACAGCACACTAACACTGCCTTCCAGATGCTTCGGTGAGAGGTAGACACAGAGGCCTGAAAGCCCTTAGAACACCTCTAGCTCCCACATGCTGGGCAGGGCCCTTGAGAATGCCAGGCTTCCATCCCCACCCCCAGCAGCTAAATGGCGCCAGTTGTAGGCAAAGCAGAAGCTGTGATTAGAGCCCCTCACAGGTGCTCGGCAGAGGAAGCACAGAGCTTCCTGTCAGGCCAGGGCTTCTCCCTCACCTGCTCCCAAAGCAGGGCCATTGTCAGAGAAAGGGGTGTAATGTTTAAAAGGATCCTCAGTCTCAAAGAGAGAGATTCAGGGCTTAAATTACAGCTTTTGTCCATAATGGGGCAAAACTATCAGTAGACAGGTTAAGTGAACTATGGGGCCTCCTTACAATGCAACACTATGCAGCTGCTTAGAATGAGGTGGGTCTCTAGTATCTTGTTCTGCAGAAGATGCAAGGTGCAGCATTGTGCTATGATATGACCAAGCTATGAGAAAATGATGAGTTTCATATTCAGAGTGATAGGGGGAAGGGGTTTCAAGCAGGAGAGTGAGTTGGTCAGAATTGTTTCTACCATTGCCGGGCCCAGCCTGGGCCTAGCACACAGGTATTCCTTCTTTCAGTGGGGGATAGTGCTGGAGCTCCTGCCGGTGCCAGACCCTGTTCTTGGTGCTGACATCCAGTAGTGAAATGAAAAACCCCCGCCTTGTGGAGCTGACTTCAGGTGGACCTTGCAGATGTTGGTGATGAGATTATTAGACTGGAAGATACCAAAGAGAAGGGCCTGTGAAGTGGAGTGGGCCAGCCCAGATAGGCCGTCACACGGAGGGTAGTGGGTAGATCAGAGGTGGAGACTGAGGCTGAGAGCCTAGGTAGGGGGCTGGGACAGAGCCCCCAAGAGAAGAGGACAGGCTGGACCAAGTGGAGCACTGGAGAGGGGACACATTATGACAGGAGGGCAGGGGAGGAAGGCTGGATGCATCTGGAAAACTGGGAGATGGAGGCCACACTGAGATGGGGCCCAGGAAGAGGAACAGGTTTGGGGGAGATGCAGAGGCCAGTGTGGGACATGGGGGGTTGGGGGGCAAGAGGAGCCTTGGGTCCCTTAGAGACAAGCATCCAGGAAGCCATGGGGACCTTGGATCAGAGAGGTGGCATCATCAGTGACTGGACAAAGGCCATTGTCATGGATGAGGCAGGTATCCCAGGGAAGGTGGAGAGAGAAAGCAGGCAAGGCCCGGGATCTGCAGTTGGGGAGCCTGGCTAAGGGGAGGAGTGGATAAGGAAATGG